ACGTTTTTTCAAGTATGTATACGGCAACACATCTTTTAAATCTCAAGGTATTAACAAGCAAAAGAAGAACAGACAAAAATGACACGAATGGATTGATAGTGGACGGCTATTGGTTATGGGGAACAGTCTTTGCAATTAGATGAAGAATTTATAATATTATAATTGTTTTTTGTTTTCACGAAACGTGAGTGTCTTCATAGATCTAGCGCTGCCATCAACTCTTCAACTTCGTCGTCTGGCCCGCCTAGTACTACATCCTCCACAAGCACATCGAACAAAGGTTCGTCTGCMTCAATTTTGTATTCACAAATTACGGCAACAGACTCAAAKGCACTGGCAATCTTTTGTACTCCATGTCGAAACCTTCCAGAAAGAATTTTGAAAGTCTTGCACATTCCATTATAATCTTCGTGGCTTTTTAGGGCTCTGGATTTGAATTTTTTGACGGCGTAACTATCATGATAATTTGGATAGGATATTGTATTTTCGTGACCACGGTATATTCCATCTCCAATTGCCTTCTGCCCAAGCATTTGCAGTCGGTTCTCCAATCCTTCTTCGACAAAGATTTGCAAATCATTTCTTCCTGCTTTGAATGGACCATTCATCCATATCACCTTTCTTGTTGCAAGAGATATTCCAATTTCGTAATTGATACCAGCTTTGTTGAATTTGTGACTGAAATAATCGGAATCTTGCGAATAAACTTCATGAGCAGGCTCTTCAATCCAGACATGTGTCCCATCGACAGTCATCACCCAGATGTCGCCAAAGCTCAAGTCATCAGGCCAAATTATTTTCTTCATTTTCAATGCCTGTATTTTTTCAATCATCTTCCATATTGGCCMCCGCACGTAGCGTGAACTTAAGTGGAAAATTGTTTCAAAGTCATCTTCAATGGGATACCTTCGAAGGTATAAAATTGTGCGGAGAAACCACTTTAAGTTTGCCATCGACCCTTCCAATTGGATAAACTCATTGTTTGCCTCTTGTAGATCCTTATAAATCGTGCACAGCACTGCAGGCGATGCTCCDAAATTGGTGTTGAATCTTTGGCGATTCTTCTTTTCGCCACATCGATTGATTTGCTGATCTGAATAATTTGCAAGGAGCAGTCCATTGGCTAGCATATMGTCTGCAGTGACAACGTGAGTTAGAGGAKTAGTGTTATCCATTTGGAAATGTTTACGGGAGATAATTGCTTTTTAGCTAGTTACAACAAAGAAACTAGCGATGTTCCATAACAAAAAAAGAATTGTCAATCACGGAGAATGAATGTTATCAACAAATTACGGCACATTCACGGAAATAGGATCATGCGATAACTTAT